AAAAAAAAAGATGCACATCCACACTAGTAACTCTTCATTGCTTTTCAGAGAGATCAAAGAAATCGGGCTTCTCAGCATTCATGTCCTTTGTAACTCTTTTCCAACAATGTACTACGTGAGTACGAGCTCGCTTTGAATTTCAGGGATGACCAGGATGACCAGGTTGCATTGTGAGAAACGAGGTCAGCCGTCTTCATCACATATCACTTGCATTCATCGATGCTGTCTCCTTTCACTTCGCGAAATTTCTCTTTATAGCATATTAGACATATTTTGACATTATCCCATCATCGAGTTCATGAAGTTCACGAAAACACTACGGGCTTGTTTTCATTTGCCTTAATTGCTCGGCTTTTAAATCATCAGTTGCTCAGATGAGCCAGCCACACTGTCCCTCATCAATTTGTAAAAAATATAGAGAACTTCACTGAACTCAATACTCCTTTTATTAAGAATTTATATTTTCGAATTTTGTGCTACATCCTCAGCTCATACATTCTTGCTGCTGCTCCAGTTTGATGTAACTTTTGTAAGGTTTCAGAAATTGTTCTATAATCTAAATATTATTCACCTGCTCAGTTATACATCATATTTCCATGCAATTAGACTTCGATACATATTCGGCACCATTTTGTGACTCAATTATTCATCTTATCGATAATTTTTAGAATGAGGTTACTCCTTTTCGCTGTGTTTCTTTGTGCATGGGCGAAGAAACGTCATCATAGCAGTGAAGAGGAGGAGGAAAGCACTTCATCTCCAGGAGAAAAGAGTATGAACTTCACTAGAAAATTTGTTTCAATCAGTTCCGCTTTTTTTCAATCTTATTATATGGCGGTAGATGATAGCTGTTTAAGAAAGACGCCATCAGCTCTGCTGCTCTGAGAAAATTTTTCAACTGACATAAATAATTTAGTCGTGGATCGTTTGGCTGTGAACTTGGCAGGAGCATTTGTGAAATCCATGTTTCCTGAGATGGATCGAGTCGAAAAGAAGAGCACCGACGTTAGTTTTCATTGCTTTTCTTTGAGCACTTTACCGTTCACAAGTGTATAATTCCGAGGTTTCAAAATTACTCACCTAGTTTTAAAAATTATTTTGTTTCGAGACACTCTTGCCTTTTGCATTCTGTACAAACATACATACTTTCCTATTCATCTTAGCACAATTTACTCACCT